CCTTCTGAAGAACCTAGGCATTCCCGTTCTCCCCAGACCTGGACCCCTAGCACCAAGACAGTTGTTTCTGTTGGCTGTCAGACTGAAGATGACACTTTCTTCCCACAGATGCAGGCAGGCTTCTCTCTTCTGGTTTGTTTGTTTTGTTTTTTTTTAAGCAATGTTTTCTAATCCAGCTACTGCTCCTGACTTGGTAGCTCAGTAGATACAATGTCCAGGTAAAGGCTGGTACTGAGCTGCTGGATAGGAGAGAGGACTCACTGGCAATATCTAATCTCAGCTCTGCCTGTCTAGCGGTGCAAAGTACATGTCTGTGCAATAACCTCCTGGATGTGTGTGGTTCCTGTCTGTCCTGATGATTACTTTGTGCAGCAGGGACTCTGTTTCTCTCTGAGATGAAGGTGACTCTGAAACACAGGCTGCAACTCTCCCTGCCACAATCTCTCTTAGAGTGGAGGGAGTAAAAGATGGCAGAATCTTGATACTGGAAGGAGCAAATCAGCAGTCTTTCCTGTGTTTGCCCGCTTAGACAGGTGTCCACAGTGCAAGTGGATTTTTGCAGAGGAGATGGCATGGCCAAGAGCTGTGTTCTGCATCTGCTGTCAGGGAAGGGATGTAGCTCCAGGATGGTGGGAAGTCTTAATGTATATGAGCAGTGCAGTGGTGTGCAGTGTTATGTGTACAGGCAGCTCTCAAGCAGTGAGCAAGGAAACACCTCTGCATCTTCAACTGTTGTACTTTTCAGGTGACCTCTGCTCCTCCCCTCACCTGCAGTGCCAGTCTGCTGGCTGCTCATACACCCGTGGGCCCCCCCACCCCCGAGAAGGCAGGACCTCCTTTCTGTTTCCTCAGCATGGTGTGCTCTTCTGGCCGATCAATGTGCTGCAGATGCTGCTGGGATCTGCTCCTAGAGCTCCCGGTGCCATTAATGTAGATGGTGTCCTGCAGTGCATGGTTTGCTGCTCAAAGAGCTCTTAACTGAAGTTGAGTGATGGCATATCTCATGGATGAAGGGCAGGAATTGGAAGGGCCTTTGCATGATGAATTTCTGTGGATGCTGTGCTGAGTGTCCCCTGTAAACAGCAGAGGTTGTGTGCAGGAGGTGGAAACAAACCTCTTTCAGGTGGGGACTCACCTGTGAGCTGTCAAGAAGGCTGGATCACCAGGCCAGGTAGAAATTGTAGTGCGCACAGGTGGTTGTGCCTGCACCGAGGTTGGCTGTGGCTTGCAGGAGCATGTGGTCCCTACAGGAAAGGGTGAACTGCTCTGTTGCTACATGTTGAATTCATCTCATCTCCTTTCTCTCCAGATGGTATTTATCATTTCTGTGTGGCATCTGTGCCTGTTCTGCCTGGTGGCCACAAGCCCCTGGTTAGAGTGAGAGAGCATATGATTCTCTTGACATGGTGCAGCCCTTCTCCTCCTGCTGTGTCGTGCAGGAAGCCCTGTCTATGTCCTGGGACACTGGCCTGGCTTTCTTGTCTTGCTCAGTGTGAAGGCTCCTTGCAATGGCATGCTTTGGAGACATTCAGTGAAACCGTTTAGTAGCAAATAACTGCTGTGTGGTGGAGGGTTTGGTTTAGGCTCAGGGCATTGGGGCATGATGAGGCTGCTCTGTGCTGCTGGACTAGGAGAGATTGGGACTTACAGGGTGGCTGGGAGGAGAGAGGGGGGGGAAAACTGTGTGTTAAGCTCCATTGAGAGTCATGCTGCATGCAAGGCAAGGCTGATGAGTGTGTATGTAAAAAAAAAAAAATCTAAAATGATGTATGCCATGAGAATTTTTATACAAACGAGTAGAAACCAGAGTTTATTATTGCGTAAACTAGATGACTACAAGTACAACCAGCTGCAGGACAGGGAATAGAGCTCCTCCTGTGGCTGGAAGGGCAGGTTCTGCCAAGGCTCTGAAGCACTGCATCATGTCCCTGCTCCCCTGGCCGTGCTGGCAGCAGGCTGGTGGGTTGTTCACAAGTGTAGGCCTTTTGTCTGTTTTAATTTGTCCTCTTAGTAAGAGAAAACATGTCCTCCAGACCAGCATCTCAAGGAGGGACTTCTTTGGGTCTCTCTAAACCTGACAGTAACTATTGCAGTGCAAAGTCAGCTAAAATAATCTGTGTTTCATTAATGTGGTTTGTCTGCAAAGGGGACTGTGGTGGCCAAAGAGAACATATACTTTGTTTGTAAGTTATGAACCTAAGTAAAATATTTCTTCCCCTCCTCTGGGAAGCTTTTCCAAGCCCTGTGTACTGTGGTGATGTGAGTTTCAGAAACAATCCCCGTCCCTCCACCCCCATGCGTTTCCAGCAGTCCGACAATAGACGTGGCAGTCGTTCCATTGCAGTCCTGTCTGTTAGGGCTCTGCTGTGGATGCACTGCCCTCTCTGTAGGTAAACAGCAGGCAACTTGAAGGGAGTTATTTCCTTCCTGCTTCCACTTGCTTAGCTCAGAAGTGGGATGAGAGCCACCTGATGGGGGCCAAGGAGACTTGGCAAAAAGATCTGCAGAAAGTGGTGCAAAGGGAGGGAGAGGAAGGGAGAAGATATTCTAGCTGAAAGGGAGGTGAGATGAAGAAGAGGAGAGGGATCTCTATCAGAGAGGAGCGAGTGACAACTGAGAGAGAGCAACAGCATAGGAATAGAGAGAGGTCAAGGGGAAGGGGCCCTCTGGATGGCGTCTCTGCTTTGTCAGCTGGCCAGGAACTGATGAGGTAAAGGGACGTTTTTGGCAGAGGCTTGGAGGGCACTGTACTGACTGCCTGGGATGTGCTGGTGAATTCTGCTGTATGCGCAGTGAAGGAAAATCAAATCCTTGGTTCACAGCTCTGCTGTTATGCATCCCAGGGTCTCTGCATGTCTCTGCATGGGCAGAATACATGTGTGTACTTGATCCTAGCTCTCACTGGCTTCTGCAGAGTGTGTAGCTGTCTCCTGGCAATCTCCTGTCCATCTCTATAGAGGAGCCACTGGCAGCAGCAGCAGGCATTTATCATGTAAGCACAGCAGCACTCGCCTTACAGTCTTTGTTTTCTCCTCCCTGCAGTTCATGGCGCAGGGGAAGGCCGGGAACAGCTCCCCTCCATCCACAGCCTCCAAGCCTGGCAGTCAGCTGGACACCATGCTGGGAAGTCTCCAGTCTGACCTGAACAAGCTGGGTGTAGCTACAGTTGCCAAAGGTGTCTGTGGAGCCTGCAAGAAGCCTATTGCTGGGCAGGTGAGTGGAAGGTGCTGTCTCATTGCTGAATCTTGGGCTGCAGCTGGGAGTAATGGGGAGGGCTGTTTCGTGAGGCTGAAGAGACTGGAGATGCTGGAGAAACTGAAGTACTCTATTTATCCACTGGCTAGGTACGCTGTAAGCTCCTCCAGTGACCTCTACCCTGCCCTTGAGGGACTGCCCTCTCCTGAGATGATAGGTAATTCAGTTTTCATGCTACCCCAGTCCAGGGCTCACTTGAGTAGTAGAACTTGTCATTCTTGCTGACCTCCAGCCGGTATCTTGTCATGTGATCTAGGGGAGAGGGAGATAGAGTTGTCCTTCATGATTTGTCTTCCCAACAGGTAGTTACAGCCATGGGGAAAACCTGGCACCCTGAGCACTTCGTCTGCACCCACTGCCAGGAGGAGATTGGGTCACGTAACTTCTTTGAGCGGGATGGTCAGCCCTACTGCGAGAAGGACTATCACAACCTCTTCTCCCCTCGCTGCTACTACTGCAATGGGCCAATCCTTGATGTGAGTTCCTGCAGGGGATTAAGGGTGCTGGCAAGATGCTGCAGGCCTAGGTGTTAAAAACTCCGTTTCACCCACATGTCCTGGGTGGAAGATTTTGTTTGAGGACTTCTGTTTTTCCTTTGCCCTGGCTCAGAAAGTCAAATTCTTACACTAGTGAGAGGAGTTAGTCCCTCTTACCTTCGCTGAAGTTCCTTCAGAACGCCACATTGCTTCCTTGTTCCGGTAATGATTCCTCAGCTTTTGTCTGCTGGTAGCCTGTAATATCAGGCTTCAGTGCTAGTCGTGAGAGCTGAACGGGGCCCTGCTGAAGGGAGGAACGAGTGCGTAACATCCTTTTAGGGTAAAAAAAAGTGTGCAGCGGGGAAAGCCTGAATGAGCCAGGGGTGGGGGAAAATTGACTCGGCTCTCTAAAGGACAGTCTATTTTAATGCATGCTCTTGTCAGCACCAACATTAATGTGTTCTTCCTCACACCCTGCCCCCCCTTACTTACCTCCAAGCTGAAGCCATCATTTACATGACTTGCACTTTATGTTGTCTTCTGAACAGAAAGTGGTGACGGCTTTGGACAGGACATGGCATCCTGAACACTTTTTCTGTGCCCAGTGTGGAGCTTTCTTTGGACCTGAAGGTATTGCTGGTTTATGCAAGGCAAAAACAATGTCCTCCCTGAACTGCAGACAAGTGTGTAAGGCAGAGCTGCTATTAGGGGACAGCCTGAGAGATGACAGGGGAACCACTGAAGATGAAGTTCCGAAGTCTGTAGCTGTTTATGGGGGAAGGATGCTACCAGTAATCTTCTTTCCTCCTTGGGGAGAAGAGTATGCGTGTGCATGTGTGCGCATGGGATGGGAAGGGCAGCAGAAGGAGGAATAGGTGCTTGCTGTGTGTGTTAGCAGGGGGAAGGGTGATCCTACCCACACTGGTTACCCTACAGAGCTTGGCTGGCCATAGGTAAAGATCAGGAGCTGATGCTCTTTGCCTCTCTTCTCCTTTGGCAGGATTTCATGAGAAGGATGGCAAAGCCTATTGCCGCAAGGACTACTTTGATATGTTTGCTCCCAAGTGTGGAGGCTGTGCCCGGGCTATCCTGGAAAACTACATCTCTGCCTTGAACACCCTGTGGCACCCTGAATGCTTTGTCTGTCGGGTAAGAAACCCAAGGTCCTTTGCTGCTGCTGTATGACCCCTCTCATTTCCACCCTGCGGGCATCTGGTCCCTTATTAGGATAAGACATCTGTGGGGTAGTGAAGGGCAGCCAGCCCCACAAGATAAAAACATGTCAGCGACCAAACACCTTCTTGTTCCTCTGCCTGTTTACATTAAACTTTCTAGCTGCTTTGCTCTTTCTGTTCCCAGCTGCAATTATGGGCTTCTGCAGCAGCTCACAGATAAACAGAGACGTTTTCTGTGACCTTTAAATAATTATAAGCTAAGCTTCTCTCTGAGCACTTGCCTCAGCAATCAGATTTTGAGGAATTTCCTCCCATGCTCCATCTGACAATGTAAACTAATGAGAGTGACCTTGTTCAGACGAACACACAAGTCAGTGAAATAGTGGCAGGCTCCATACAACAGGCATAATAAACAGGAATACTGCAGATTAAATGCTTGGCACTCTTTCAGAGAACATTGCAAATATTAACTCTTACAAGCCCCAAGAGATGAGCAAAATCAGCCAGTCTTTCCTAGAGTGGGAAAGCAGGGCAAAGACCAGAACAAGCAGCCAGAACCACAAGCTGCTGGTTCCCGGTACGATGCTCAGAGCAGACTGTCACCATGCTGTTGGGACTGTCTGTGGCTCCTGCAGTGGTGTGCAGGGAGTGGAGGCAGAAGATGGCAGTTCTGACTATGCGGGGCTGGGGAGGGCTGTGCCTTTTTGTGCAGAGATTGAGACTTATATCAAGCAGTTCTGCTTTCCTTTCCCCCTGCTGCCACTCTGCCTGTATTAGTGGGGCCAGCACTGATGTCTTCCAGGACACGAGATGCAATTCACTTCCTGGTTTTGCTAAAGCAGAGCAGACTTTTCAGCTGTCCTGCTGACTGAGGGAGGAGAGAGTTTATTGAACTAATTGTCAGCATTAGAAAAGTCTTGGACTCGCTGGAGGCAAACTGCATTCCTCCTGGTATTATGAGCATTTAGCTATCCATGGCTCTGTATGCTGTTTGCTGGACTCCTGTGTACATGTCCAGCTGCCTATCCTCTCTGGGGAAGAGGATGGTGTTGGGGCTGAGCAAAACCAGAATTCTGGAAATCTGGCTTCTCTAGGTGTTGCTGCTGTTATATTTGGTAAATCTGGCAGATCCTCGACTCTCCCACACCCTGCTGCCTCAGTTTCGCACTTGTGCAAGGAGGGGAGTCTCCCCATGTAGACATGATGGGTGCTTCTGTTGCAGGTTCTGAAGTGTAACATCCTCAGCTGCCTGACACTGAGCTGGGTGAGGAGCTGTGGATGCTAATAACCACATAGCTGGTGTATTCTCTTCTCCTCATCTATTCAAAATCATTAGCACTATAGTTTCTCGCAGTAGCAATGCGTGTGTATCTGATGAAGATGTTTCAGGTTGGACTATCCTGGGCAAAGTGTAACTGCATAATGCCAGTGCCTGACACTGAGCTGGGTGAGGAGCTGTGGATGCTAATAACCACATAGCTGGTGTATTCTCTTCTCATCTATTCAAAATCATTAGCACTGTAGAACTGTAGTTTCTCGCAATAGCAATGCGCGTGTACCTGATGGAGATGTTTCAGGTTGGACTATCCTGCGCAAAGTGTAACTGCGTAATGCCAGCCATTCTGGAAAGAGCACTTGTAGAGATTAATTAGACCTCGTTTTTCTTAGCTGGAACCAGTCCCACATTCATCAGAAATCTGCTACGTGAAAGTCTGTGTTGGTCTCTGCTTCTGCCTGCCATTGTGGGGAAGCTGGAGTGAGATTGAAAGAAAAAAAAACACACAGGGAAAGGTGCTGCTGTGTTTCCTGTCTCAGGGGAATCAGTGTTCTCCTTTCTCCTGGCTGGATGCATCTGGTAGCTCATCTGTAGTATTTTCTTTGTAGAAGTGAAACCAGCTGGGGAAAGGAGCATGGTTAATTCCTTTGCTTCTGGCTGTATCTGTCCATCTGTCAGCCTTTCCTTGGAAACTCTTCTTGATGGACAGAGTTTGGCTGTTTGGAGAACAGGACGATGCTGAAAGGCAGCCATTCACCCTGCCCACAGTACAGCTAGGCTGTGCCACAGAGCAGGGGAGGCTTGCGAAGCTGCCCGCATCCCCAGCTTGTTATACATTTGTCCCCTTCTGCTTTATCCTCCTGCAGGAATGTTTCACACCATTCATCAATGGCAGCTTCTTTGAGCATGACGGGCAGCCCTACTGCGAGGTGCATTACCATGAGCGTCGCGGCTCGCTCTGCTCCGGTTGCCAGAAGCCTATCACAGGACGCTGCATCACTGCTATGGGCAAGAAGTTTCACCCTGAACACTTTGTCTGTGCCTTCTGCCTCAAGCAGCTCAACAAAGGAACCTTCAAAGAACAGAATGACAAGCCCTACTGCCAGAACTGCTTTCTCAAGCTCTTCTGTTAGAGGCATCATAGATGGGCGCTAAGCATCTTTCTGCCACCCCCTTGGCAGTTCTGTCTCTCTGAACATTACTGTGATTTAGAAACCTTACCAGGCAGGGGAGGGGGTGGGATGGGAGTGGGGTGGGAGTGCTTTCTGCTGCTACGGACAGGCAGTAGATCCAGAGATGAGACGGACCATTAAACTGGAAATGCCCTTGCTGTGTCTCAGTAGAGAGAGGCTGAGATCCCTCATTACAGTGTGCGTGTCTGTGTGTGTGACTGACAGCTGAGCTTAGCTCCAGGGCTCTAACAGGGAGACTTTATCCAGCCCTCTCCTGGCAGAAGGAGTCTTTGCCAGTATGATTCAGCCTGTGTCAGCTCCCTGAGCAAATCGTGACACTTGCAGACAACACAGCCCTCTGCTTTGACACCTCTTTCTCAGGCGTTTGTCTGCATGCATGCAGTGTGAGCAATAGCACAGCGAGGGCACACTGGCTCTGCTCACTAGAGCCATGTGGTGTGTGTGACTTACTGAGTTCAGAGCACCAGCACAGGCAGCCAAGACCCTGCAAGGGTCTCTCCAGTTCCATTACACTGTAAGGAGATGATACCACTTAAGTTTTGTTTTTATTTTTTTTTTAAGAGGAATCAAAATGTTACTGTGTGGGGTGATTTCCCCGCCCCCCCCCCGGTTGTTATTCCCTGCTTTTTCTCTACACACTGGAGCAGGAGGTGGAGTAAGCCCCGACCATCCCTCAGCACTGATGTGCGCTCCTGTGGGTGACATCCTATGCCAGGCACCTCCGTCGGCACCCACGCCTGCTCAGGGCATCCACTCCCCTTGCCTGCTGCTCGCGGGAGAGAGGAAGAGGCATCGTGCCTTCTTTAAAAGCAGGTGCAGAGAGGTTAGAGCACAGCCTTTTTCATCCGACCCTGTCATGAGCGAGTGTGACGTGTGTGTGTTTATCTGGCCTGAAACTCCCATCTGTCGGGGCCTGAAACTGTCACAAGAGCAGGGGGAAGTGGAGGGGTTTAAGAAGCCAGGGAAAAAAAAAAATCCAAACTTTATATCCTTTCTTCTTCCTCTCTTTACTAATGAGACCTGTCAGCCCCTTGGTATTTCCCTTTTCTGTGCTCTTGTTAAACGTGTTCTACTGAGAGATGCTAGAGCAATAACCTTTTGTATTGACTGTTACTGGTATAACAAGTCCCTTGGGTCAGGTGTGTGTGACACACTTGGAGTTTTACTATCAAACTGAATACTGTATCCCGTCTTTGATAAGAACTGTAGATTTCTACACTGATTTTGAATTCATATCTAATTTACTTTTAATCCTCTTATACAGAAATCGGTTTTGAAGTGATTTTAAGAAAGCAACTTTTATATCGAGCTGTGCTGTTCTAGGCAGTGTACCAGTTGTGCTGGTTTACTGCATCTGTAACCTCAATGCTTTGTTAAGCCTAACTAACATTCAATATTTTCTTTTTATTGCGGGTTGGGAGGGGCTGGAATCTATGGGAATGGGAATGTGACTTGTATTTTTTTTTTTCAGCACAGGCAGGTGAACTGTGAATAGCTTCCCCCCTACCCCCCACCCCGGTCACCTAAAAGTGTGCTTTTTTTGGTTTCCATTGTAACCTGTAAACTGCTGTATTTGAATCACCTGCCATTCTCCTAAAGCCCAGCTTCCAGGATACTATAGTCAGTCTTAATCTGATGCTGCAAGGGGGAAGAGCTCAGACCTTCACCCTTGGTTTCTCCTCTTCAGCCACCTGAAACCAGAGCAGAGTTAATTGGCGAAGGGATTCCTTTTCTCCTGTGGAAGAAAGATCTTGTGACTAAGCAGAAGAAATTGGGCAAGACAGGCTCTGTTCCTGACTAGCTGTGTAACTTTGGGCCAGTCACTAAACCTTACCGTGCCTCAGTTTCCCCATCTGTAAAATGGGGCCAATTTAGCCTGGATTTGTGAGGTTATTGTGAGGCTTAGTTCCCGTTTGCTAAAGCACTTTCAGGTCTCTGGCTGGAGGGTGCTGTGGAACGTGACATACTACGTTGAAATACCTGGTGGCATTCTGTGGTAACAGCTGGAGCAGCTCGGGGAGCGGGGTTTGGAATTACTTCTCCAGAGTGCTACAGCAATATCACCATTGACATCTGGTTGTGCTTTTCAGCTTGGCAGTGCATTAGGGGTCTGGGGGCAACTGTGTCAGAAACCAGCTGTCCCCCATAACCTTGCCATGGTGCTTCGCTGCCCTGTGTGGGTCACTGAAACTGTTTTTCACCAGTTTCCCGTACAAGTGAAGCTCGGTTTGTGGTTGTGAAACTGAAGGGAGCTGTGGAAGCACTAGAGCTAAAGCTGTGTCAGCTGGGCTGAGCACAACTCTTGGAGAATTCGTGAGGCAAGAAACTTTATGCATTTGTCTTTTCATCTTTGAAATCAATTTGACTTAAAATGGATGTTTCTAAGCTGCCATGTGTTTATCTTGCTGAAAAGGTGAACTACTTTTGGCCTCACTAAGAGAACGAAAAAGCTGTTCTATGTGGAGTGCCAGAGAGGGGTGAGAAGACGTTTCTGGCACTACCCCTTGTTGTGTGACACCTGCAAACTGTGTAATCATGTGCCTCAGTTTCCCTGTCCGGGGAGTCTTTAACCTACCTCACTGCTAGTTGAGGCTTGTGTAAGTGACGCTTCTGGCACGCGTGGAAAACCCTGGGTGCAGGGTGCTGCAGAGGGGTGCCGGTGGTGCACAGCGCCGAAGGGGAGGCTCATCTGTCTTTAGTGCTTAATGGAGATTGTTAAACATTTACCTCCTGAGCAAGATGTTGAGCGTATCCTGGATTTCTCTGGTTTCTGACATGCTGGGATGCTACACGGATGCTACTCTGCCAAATAATGACTTTTGGTGGCTGCCGCTGCTGTGGCTGTCCAAAATGCCTGTTACTTGATTTCAGATGCAGTGAGTGGGAGCGGCTGGGGAGAGATGGGGTGCACGGGCTGGGGATGGTGTCCCCAGGCACGGAGAGGAGAGAGGGTGGGGGGCTGCGGCAGGCTGCTCCTGGGGAGCTTTTTGTCTTTAAAGGCCTCAGCCCTGGGCAGCCCCCTGCCCGAGTGCTACCCCTGGGGAAGGTCTGTCCCACCACGGCCGGGCTGGGCTGAGGGATGCTCCGCTGGGTCGACACTTATTTGATATCTTTTCTCCCTTGTAAACTTCTAACTCC